ATCTCCGTACTATATTGTAAAGCACCTTTAATCAAAAGTTTTACAATGTAGAAGCACATTATAAGGCCCGTGTTTACATTGTAAGTTAATTCAATAGACTACAAAGAAAGGGCAGATCGTTAGTCGATTGACCAATCCTCTTCGGACAAGAAATACATACACACACACACATGCACATGTATATGCACATGCACACACACACACACACACACACACACACATGTATAAATGTGTGTGTGTGTATAAACTGTGTTTATGAAGTCTCACGTTTGACATTGTTATATACCTTTCTGTCGGAAGCACCGTTTAAAATATATAATTTCGTGCGAAAGTAAATCAGTGTAAACACATACGGAAGTTACTGATCTTCGAGATAATAATTCTAGAAAACATCGTTTAGTTAGACATTTTACGTCAAAGAAGGTTATAGTAAAACAAATCTAAGAATTCTGATATTGCAATAAATGCTCCTCCTCCTTTTCGTGGACAGAACTAAGGGTTCCCGATAAGTTTCTTTCACGCTGAAATGCTCGGTTATGAAGATAAGCAGCTCAATTTACTTTTAATTTGATTTGATTCAATTTGATTCGAGAAAACGATAAAGTATGGAAAACAGAGAAAATACTAGACAACTAAAATTCCCCGATATTACAAATGGAAAAGGCATGTTATAGTCAAGTAAAGGTTTTTGTAATCGGGAAATAAACGACTATATCCGGTTTCAAACCCGTACGAGAGCCCTGGAGCAGTCGTAACTTTCAAGGTACTTTACAATGTGTGACGTCATAACATGGCGGCTAATTTTGTTTCGAGTATGGCCTTCGGAGTATTTGCGACATTGTAACGGTTCCGATGTGAGATACAACATTGTAAACGGCTTTGGATATCCGGCCCCTGGAACCTTACATCTGTTTACGGCAGACGAATCTTTTCCTGAACTGTATTCTTGATTGAGCCCGAACTCAACCAGACACATTGAGGTCTTCAATAATATTGATAATAATTATAGTAATTGTAATGATATTTATAAGATAAATAGTAATAGTAACAATAATATATAATGACAACAGAGATAATGATAATAATGATAAATAATGACAACAGAGATAATAATGATAATTTCTATTGCTATTACTATTATCATAATAAGTATTATCATAATCATTATTATTATTAGCACTTTTATTATCACCATTATTAATATAGTTATAGTAATAGCAATTATGATAATAATAGCAGCAACAAAACAATAATAATAATAGTAATGGAAATAATAATAATGATAATAATTATAATAATAATAACAATTATAATAATAACAAAAATGATGATAATAATGATAAAATAACAATAATAAGAACCATAAGAATGATAGTAATAATAATAATATTACCTGTAGTAACAGTAATGCGAATAATAGCTGTAGTAATACCAATAATAATGATAATAATAATAATAATATTAATAAGGAAAATAATGATAAAAAATGATAGCTATAATACAATATATATATATATATATATATATATATATATATATATATATATATATATATATATAATAATAATAATAATAACGATAACAATTATGATAATAATAATAACAACAGTGACAATGGCGGTGATGGCAATTATATTGATAACAATAATTACTATAGTAAAAAAAAAATAATGATAGTAATAATATTGATAACAATAATTATAATAAAAATAATAATGATGATATTGATAATTACAATTATAATTATTATAATATTATAATGAGCATGATGATGATAACTATAAAAATAATGATAGAAAAAACAATAATCATAAAAATAATAACAATAACAATTATAATACGTTCTGTTGTTGATATGGAGGTCGTTCTAAGAGACACAGTTCCATCTTCTCTTTATAAAGATCTTTAATAAAAAAGACATACATCTTTACAAGGCACCTTGAATGTATAAGAGTTGTATAGCCTACGTGGTGATTTACCCTTAATGCCTGTACTTATCTGATAAAGACGAGACGCGTCCTCCAACACCAGACAAGCTCGGTCGGTCACAGACGCAGCGAAAAATGGGTGAGTAAGCGAGGAAGAGATAAGTTAAAGGTCATATGCCCGCCTTATATAAACTTTAGACCTGAGTTGTTATAGGCTCTTTTACCAGCAATTCTGATTGGTTAACTATGTGGGAGAGTTACATAGGTATTAGGGAACCACATAGGTATGGGAGACTGTTGTAAATCATCAGGAGTTTAGGTGCCACATAAAACATTATATTGATCCGGCCTAAGTTCGTAGAACCACGCAACCACCTCAGTGCATCCGGTGCGGCGACATCATCCCGCATCATAGGGCATCACTACAACACTCACACACACGCACGCAGCACACATACTTATATTTATTAATATTTATATATCCATATGTGTATATATATATATATATATATATATATATATATATATATATATATATATACATACACACACGCGTGTGTATGCACGCGCGCGTTTGTGTGTGTATGTGTGTTTCTACGTGAGTATGTGTGTGTGTGTGTGTGTGCATAAACTAGATTTATTGATAATGAGACAACAGTTTCGAAATTCCATTTTCAGGTCTGAAGAGGAAAGAAAGAGGAGTTATAAAAGAGATAGAGGAGGGGCAACGCGAACACGGGAAAGGTAAGGACAGACTAACAGAAGCAAAGGGAGGCTAGATTAGGTCGGAGGGTCAGGCGGTCTATTCGAAAGGTGGCTGGCACAATGAAAAAAGCCGGCCACCTTTCGCATGCCTTTCACATACACACACATGTGCGAGTATGTGCATATATGCATATGTACTTACAGTAGCTCAACAATGTCCGGGGAACTTGCCTAACCACATAAATACTCCTGGGGCTTATTTTGTGAACCAAGACATATTTCTTGTATATGTATACATCATTTGTACAAAATCACCTAAGTCTGTACAATCATAATTGTGATATACGTATCATTACTAAATCATTATTACCAAATGAACTAAATTACAAACCATACCAACACAGAGATCCCATTACTACACAGCTGCCACAAAGACTTCCGAACTCGACACCAATCATTTGCAGATAATTCATATTTTATATAAAACATAATGCTGGTGGCCCTCAAGTTTCTGGTCTTATCTCATCACAACTAATTTGTTTTCTTATATTAACATCCGTCCTTATGTTTCATGACCATATAAACTATTGATAAAATAACCTGTTACTGTTGACAATTACTGCCAACTTCAAAATAGCGAATATTCCCGTCAAACGTCCCGAGTTCCCTCGGAGTCATGTCTCGAAGCCTGTTCACCCTTCGCGTCGGTGATGCTCTTCCCACAATGCAACAGCGTAAGCATGCGAAATTCAAACACACACATATATACGTATGTATGTATGTACACACACACACACACGTATGTGTGTGTCTGTATGTCTGTGTATATGCATGAATATACACATATATATATGTGTGTGTGTGTAAATGTATATATATATATATATATATATATATATATATATATATATATATATATATATATATATATGAATGAGGAAAACACTCTACCGTGTTGAACTATGGTAGAAAAACCCACAATGTAAAAACTAGATTTATTGAAAATGAAAGTGAGACGACAGTTTCGGAATCCACCTGGATTCCATACATATATAAACATATATATATATATATATATATATATATATATATATATATATATATATATATATGTATATATATATATATATATATATATATATATATATATATATATATATATATGTATGTATGTATATATATATATATATATATATATATATATATATATATATATATATATATATATATATATATATATTTATATATATATATTTATATATATATATATATATATATTTATATATATATATATATATATATATATATATATATGTATATATATATATATATATATATATATATATATATATATATGTTTATATATGTATATATATATAAAATATATATGTTTGTGTATGTTTATGTTTGTACGTGAAAAGTGTGTATATATGGGTATCCATGCTGTGTAATATATGTGTGTAAGTACGTTTACGATTGTTTATCATAAGAATGGGTAAAGTCTCCTCTTCTTGTTATCAAGATTTGCGTGTTATCATATATCTTCTCCTTTACAGTTTGCACAAATACCGTGGGAGTTATTTTCCATGTCACCACCTTCCGTTTCCGCGAACTGAAGCGAGAATTACCGCAAAGACAGCAAACTTTACATCATTCTTTAGCACACGAGAGCGCAGCGCCGTGTGATATGTGTGCCAAGAATTGTGTGTGGATCATGGGAAATACTGGAACCTTTATAGCACTTTATATTCTCAGATAAGGTAAAAACCCTCGGGATGACTTAGGAAAAGCTATCAAGGTAAATATGCTACCGAGGTGAGAAGTGGTATACTCTTCAATAGGCGCATTGATTTTTTTTTTTTTCTTTTCTTTCTTTTTTTTTTTTTTTTTGGGGGGGGGGGGTGTACGACTGGGTGTACGACTCCAATAATCTGTGTTCTTGTTATTGTCTCTCTCTTTCTTTACTACTCCCCCCTCTCTCTCTCTCTGTTCTTCCATAACTCTTGGTCTCTCTCTCTCTCTCTCTCTCTTTCTCTCATGCATACACACACACGTGTATATGTGTTTATATATGTAAATATATCTATATATGTATAAATGTAAATATGTAGGTATATATAAGTACATGTATATGTATGCATATATATATATATATATATATATATATATATATATATATATATATATATATATATATATATATATATATATATATATATATATATATATATATATATATATATATATATATATATGTAAATACACACACGTGTATACATATATGTGTATATATAAATGTGTGTGTGCAGAATGTGAACCGTACACATCATTTTGGCATGTAATGTAGTATTTGGGTAGAAAATGCAATTGAAAATAAGCTCTTTATTAGAAGAATAAATACATATACAACTTTTATATGTATATATAGATTTAACCAATGAAGAATATGTTAATAAATAAATTATAGTAGCCAACGTTTTCGCTTTGACTTCCTATTAAGAACCCGCAGTTGTGTGCAGCGTATGCAGGTTTATGGTGTGCCATAACCAGTTGAGGGAGCTGGGGGATGGCCGCCTCCAAAGCCACCAGCACCACCGGCAAAACCTCCAGCATTGCCACCGAAGCCTCCAGCACCACCTCCGAAGCCGCCAGCGCCGGCTCCGAAACCTCCAGCGCCAGCTCCTAAACCTCCAGCGCCGGCTCCGAAACCTCCAGCGCCGGCTCCGAAACCTCCAGCGCCGGCTCCTAAACCTCCAGCGCCAGGTCCGAAACCTCCAGCGCCGGCTCCGAAACCTCCAGCGCCAGCTCCTAAACCTCCAGCGCCGGCTCCAAAACCTCCAGCGCCAGGTCCGAAACCTCCAGCGCCGGCTCCGAAACCTCCAGCGCCAGCTCCTAAACCTCCAGCGCCGGCTCCAAAACCTCCAGCGCCAGGTCCGAAACCTCCAGCGCCGGCTCCGAAACCTCCAGCGCCAGGTCCGAAACCTCCAGCGCCGGCTCCAAAACCTCCAGCGCCAGGTCCGAAATCACCACCGGCGCCTCCAATCACTTGGCCGCCTCCTTGAGCAGCTGCACCCAGGGCACTGTGAAGGTCAACGCCACTGGGAAGAACTGGGTTCTCGCCGTCAGCGTAGTTCACGAAGTAAACTTCAGGATTGGTTGCTGGTGGTGAGGGGACTTCGATCACTTCTGGTCCTTGCTCGGACTGCTTGTTGAGAACGTACACGACGTGTTTCTGCTGTGGTGGAGGCACAACGATGGGTTGTGGGCCTTGTCCTTCTTCAGGAGTTCGGATGAACAGAAGGTTTGTCTCAACGGATGGTGGAGGGATATGGGGTGGGGGGCCGTAGCTCGGCGGGTGGGGAGGTACGTCGAACACGTACACACGGCGGGTCACATGTGGAGTAACACACCTGCCATCAACGTGCAGTACTTGTCCAGGACCACAGTTTCCAGGGTGGAAGCCGGGACCTGAAGGCCTGTCATAATTGTAGCCCTGAGGGGCAGCCGATATAGCCACAATGGCTGTGATAAGGATCTGCAAGAGAAATCTTTATCCGCATTAGTTTACGCACACGCATACATGTGTTTGTGCTGATTATACATGCATACATAGATTTGTTTATATATATACACATTTTCTGTGCGCGCATATGTTTGTGTGTGTGTGTGTGTGTGTACATGTATACATATATGTGTGTGTGTATGTGTGCATGTGTGTGTGATGCAGTATATACAGTATTTGCATACATTCATACATATATACCATACAATTTGTATGTGTGTGTATATATATGTGTATGTGTGTGTGTGTACATGAATATGTATGCCAGTATATCTATGTATCTTTCTATATGTATACGTATATATACATATATATACATATACGTGTGTATATATACATATATATGTATTTATGTATATATACTTACACATATATATACATAAATATATATATGTATACACATATATGTACACACACATATATGTGTGTGGGTGTGTTTGTGTGTGTGCGCGCGCGCGTATGTGTGTGTACATATATGTGTATACATATATATATGTGTGTATATATTTATGCATATATATATATATGTATATATAGGCGCGCGCGCGCGCACACACACACACACACACACACACACACACACACACACACACACACACACACATATATATATATATATATATATATATATATATGTATGTATATATATTATACAGGATATATATATACATATATGTATATATATATATATATATATATATATATATATATATATATATATATATATATATGTATATATGTATATATATATATATATATATATATATATATATATATATATATATATATACATGTATGCATGTACCTATATATATGCACACACGTACAAATGTATAAACTTCTTTGTAGAAAAAAATCAGCACAAACACTAGTTATCACGAACTTTTCCTTCTGTACAATATATCACTGTTTTCCCGAGATGTCAAATATTTTTCCTTCACAGTCGTATTGGCGAACACCACAACTTACCAAGAGCTTCATGGTGAAGTAGTGCTTCTACCAACTAAGTGGCGCCTTATATATGCTGAAACTTCCTCTCACTCTTACATTCTCTACCGTTCCTCTACATCACCTTCACAACTTGCTCCCAAAACCACACCTTAACCCCCCCTTGTTCCGCCTGTGCTTGGCCCGACCCTTCTTATGGCTCAATTACGAAGCTCATATAAGATCTTTGATTCTCAATCACCGTATATCATTCCTTGATTACTCTTGATGTCGTTATCGAAGCGATAACACGAAGGATATCTATAATAATAACGAAGTTCTAAGAATCCTTGAAGGAACTTAGCAACTAGATTACCTTAGCCCTAGTTTTTGCCTGATTGTGGGTACGCGTTCTGGGTCAGTTTTTACGTTTCTTGTACCCTAGTGGTGCGTCCTCTTACTACTAATAATTGCGTCCGACCTAGGAATGATGACTAGTATGGGGATAAATTTGTAGCTTTTTATTTTTTTTTTTGGATTATTCGGTACCCCCCGTCTCCCCTCCCCCTCAAAAAAAAAAAAAAAAAAAAAAAAAAAATGGAGAGAAAGGGGTGCAAAAGTATACACGTGAAACATGCTAATTTCCATACTCAACGGTGAGTGTATGTATAAGTGAATAGCCTGATATATGAGTAAATATGGTTATTCTATATAAAATTTAGTCATTCATAGCTCTCATATTGTATGGAAGACATTAGCAGTAGGCAATAGACTATGCCTGAAACAGAAATAGAAAGTTTATGATGCTTACACGCGTGGACCTTTTTCCATCTTTCAGTCAGGTTGCATTTGAATAATGTTTATTGTTTACAGAATGTAATAAGAGCATGCAAAAAAAATAAATAAATAAATAAATAAAGTGTTCAGAATTAGAGCATTTTCTTCAGATAACGTATCATTCTCCTGTTAACATCATCTTATGGTTTTCCCTTATTTTTCATCTGTACTTTCTTCTTCCTCTTATTCTTCTCGTCTACAACATCTTTCTTCTGCTTGGGTCACTTTTTTATCAGTAGCATTGGCCTTCAGTTCACTTATCTAGGGCGTGCTTTCCATTCGGGAGTCAAGCAAGTTATTCCCCACGCCAACTGCATGCACTGTGCTACCAGTCTATCAATCCCACGCGCCTGATATAGACAGAACCTCGAATCAGTCTTGTACAATGTTGAAAAGGTTGTTCGATCAAATGATTGGATATTATGCGCAGTTCATGTCACGTGTCAAGAGAAGAAGTAAGGGTTTTGATTTTTTTTCTTTGTACAGTTCGGCACGCTTCATATTACGTGGTGCGATCTCCAGAGAGAATGCCTTGGGTAAAAAGAAAAAGCTTACTCCATGTATTTTCTAAGTGGAACTTTTTACCAATAGTGATAAAATGCCATGAAGATGAGTCCTATAAATAATAATTACTTACATTTTTTTGCACTTTATCCTCGTTCTTGCATATCTCCAGCCATCGTAATCATGGTCATCATCGTCATCATAATTTTCATCTTCATTTTCATAATCATCATCAACATCATCACTGTCAAGATAATTACTACATTTTATCAATATTATCATTATTATTTTCTTTATTATTGTTATTATTTCGTCTTTTCTTTTCATTATTATTATTATTATTATTATTATTATTATTATCAATATTATTAATTTTATTATTATTATTATTATTATTATTACTATTATTATTATCATTATCACTATTATTTTTATTATTATCATTATTATTATTATTATAATTATTATTATTATTATTATTATTGTTGTTGTTATTATTATTATCATTATCATTACTACTAGTATTATTATCATTATTATTATTGTCATTGTTATTATTATTATCGTCATTATTATGATGATGATTATTATTATTATCATTATCATTATTATTATCTTTATCATTTTCATTATTATCATCACAATTCTTATTATTATTACTTTATACATAATTATTATTGTTATTATTATGGTTATACTTATCAGTATCATTATTTTATCACTTCACTTAGATTATAATCATTGTCATTAGTATAAGTTTTATTGTAATCATTATCATCATTACTATTTCCTTTATTCTCTTATTTCATTAGTATTATTACTATTATTATTATTATTATTATTACTGTTACTATTATTGTCATTATTATTATTATTATTATCATTATTATTATCATTATTATTATTATTATTATTATTATTATTATTATTATTATTATTACTTTTTTATTGTCATTGTTATTATCATTCACATGATATTAGGATCTTGAGTATCATTAACTTGATTACTATGATAATCACCATCAAGTAAGAGAAAAGTTATCGTAATTGACACATTTGTAATTACAGTAGTCTTTTTAACTTTACTTGTAGTAGATAGAGCAAATGTAGCCGCTTTAATAGTGAACGACAGAAAAGTCTTCATTGATAAAATGTTAGTAAAACTCACTATGCAAATTAAGCTGCATCTTGAGTTTCACTGACAGATGCACGAAGCAATCGCAGAAGTGGGTTTAGTTGTATCAGCTGATAACAGCGATACTAAAGGCAATGGTAGTACCTGCGGCTGAAGCAGCTTTAGTGGTAGATATATTAATAGTAGAAAGAGTATTAGTAATAGAGCTACTACAGAATAAGTGTAGCGATAGTTTTAATTATTTAGAAATGGTAGCTATTGCAGCAGGCGTATCAATTGCAGTAAAAGTATCAAGCAGAAAGTGAGCATATAACGATCTAATGGGTAAGTAATATCATTTCATGAAACTGTGCCCTATTACACGGTAAAAGTGGAAACAATTACATTTCCAAAACGTTTCAGTAGCAGCAGAAGGCGAAACCTATCACATTTAGCCTTTAATCGAAATTTGTGGAATCATCCGCAATCTTATTATTATTGTTATTATTATTATGATTATTATTATTTTTATTATTATTATCATTATCATCATCATCATCCTCATCCTCATCCTCATCATCATCATCATCATCATCATCATCACCATCATTATTATTTTAAAACCTAATGACATTATAATTTTTATTATCATTATTATCATTATCAACAACATTGATAATATAATTACTAATAATATTCTAATCACTATTATTATTCTTTTAGTTGTTGTCATTATCATCGTTACCATTATTATAATTATCTTTATGATAATAACAACAACAACAATAATGATAATAATAATAACAATTATAATAATAATAATAACAATAATAATAATAATAATAATAATAATAATAATGATAATAAAACAATAATAAATAATAATAATAATAATAATAATAATAATAATAATAATGATAATAATAATATTATTAATAACAATAATAACAACAATGATAATAATAATAATGAAAATAATGATAATGATAATAATAATAATAATAATAATAATGATAACAATAATGATAATAATAATTATTATTATCATTGTTGTTGTTGTTCTTATTATCGTTATTATCATTTTCATTACTAAGATTATTATCATTATCGTTATTACCAATATTATAATTACTATTACTATTATCATATTTATTATTATTATTATTTTTATCATGATTGTTATTATTACTATCATCATTATCATTATCATTAGTATTATTACCATTATCATCATTATCATTATCATTATCATTATCATCATGATTATTATCATTATCATTATCATCATTATCATTATTATCATCTGCAATATCATCACTATTATTATCATTATCTTTATTTTTATCATCATTATTTGTATTATAATATTAATAGTGATAATGATAATGATAATAATAATAATGATAATGATAATAATAATAACAATTATTATTATTATTATCATTATTATTATTATTATTATTATTATTATTATTATTATTATTGTTGTTGTTGTTGTTGTTATTATTATTATTATCACTATTATTATTTTCATCAATATAGTTATTCTTTTTACCATTGATACTATCATGAGCATCAATATCATCCTCATCATTACTTTTATTACCAAGTATTTTTATCATTCATATCACTATTATTATTATTATTATTATTATTATTACTGTTATTATCATTATTATTATTATCATTATTATTATTAGTTGCAGTATTTCTATTATTATTATTATTATTATTATTATCATTATTGTGATAATATCTTTTTAGATATTATTTTTATTATTATTGTTATCATTTACTATTACTGCTTTATTATTATTATCATTATCATTATTCCCATTATCATCATTGTAATTATTATCATCATTATGTTTATTATCATTTTTACTATTATTATTATTATTATTATTATTATTATCCCGATCATAGTTGCTCCGGGCAGACTCCTCTCTAGTGTACCACTGCATTCCCTAGTTTCCTAAATAGCTCTTCTTGGCCTGACCAAAAACATTATAATCCCCGACTTGACTCTTTTTCGAGAGACAATATAAGGATTGTAGAACCCTAGCTTAAATTAATCAGGTAGCAGTGCGGTTAAGATAAAGCTATAAAGTAGTATGGATTATGATACCTCCATGTTATCACATGCTCAATGCTCTTGTACTGTAGTTTGGAGGTGCCCTGGTAGATCTGAAAGTATTTATTATGAAAGTCCAAGAGTTTTTACATTAACTGTCCCTTATATAGCATAATACTTTAAAAGGTCAATAAAAAGGAAAAGGGAACACCTGTAGCTCCTACCTAAGCATATGATGACAAATCACTTTCATACATAAAACGCTGAAAAAAACTGGGTTTCTCAGACCTTGTACTTTTAAAGCGAAGCCTTGATCTAGCCATCTTATAATAAGGAGAGAAGTAGAGGCACTATTGCAAAAGTAATAGATCTGGTTTCCTACGAGATGCGTTTTTATTCCATATATTTTCACTAGAAAGTTAATCTTAATAAGCTTAATGGATATTCATAGAAAGAATGATAATGGATGGAATCGTGATGCAAATCTTTATTTCGGAAGAAAGATAAACAAATGAATTGGATTAGATAGAT